CATCGCTCATTATATTTCGCAATGGGTCACAAAGTTTCAAACAAACATTGTGCCTGCTCTAAAACATATCGTAGGTCTAACGCAATGATGTATTAAAAGAATTTCAAGTAATAATGTATGCTTGCAGTTATAATAGACACACAGTATTGAAAGATTTGACTTGTTACCAAAAATTCATCGTGTCATTGATCATAAAAAATTTATGTACATGCCTTGCCATTCTTTTCAAAAAAATATGTACAAGATAGGGGAAGGATCCTAAGTCATTTCTCGCTAGGCTCCGAGGATCCACGTCCTATCTAAGGAAGATGCTTGACAAGCTGCCGCACTAGTTCCTCTAGTTGCTGCTGGCTCCGGGCTCAGTCAAGCTGTTGCTCCATTAAGATTGCATTCTGCTGGTTGGCAGCTGCGAGAGCCTTTATAATTTCGTTTTGTCCTCTTTCGAGGCTCTCTAGCGTCTTTCCTAGATTTGTAGCTTAAGCTTTCAGCCTTCCAATACTTGACTCCAATGCGGCAGTCATGGAGCTTTCAACAGCCAGAACCTTAGCCAAGTTTTCGACATGATTGTCGATCTGTGATTGCAACAGAACATACTGGCTCAATAGAGCCGCATCGAGGTCATCAAATCGTCTTTCGATTGATTCAAACGCCACGCAAGGAGCAGATATGCTAGTCTTACCTGGTGCTGGTGATTGTTGCTCGGATGCGGAACTGATGTCCACTGGCTCTAGCTCTGGCTCCTCATTTACGGAATTGGGTGTTGGCTCCGGGGTGACGTCTCTCAAGAATATTAACTGCCTCGCTGCCTCACAAGCATGCTACGCTGCTTTCTTTGCCTCGATATTTTTTCTGAAGCGCAGCTAGAGCTGGGTCAGCGGTTTCCACCACTTGAGCAGTTTGGCCAGCACTTTCATCTTCTTCTTCTTACTCCGGTCGCGTTGTCGCTCTGGTTCAAGCCTTTGCATTTCTGCGAGTAGCCAAGCCTATGCTCCTTAAACTGTCTTTCCTCCATATTCTCCTCCTCATCAATAATTGTTTTGTCATATTTAGCTGATGACGGAGTCGGAGCTTTTGCAGGTGTGGATGTCTTAATTGGTCTACTTCCGCTGGCCCCATAGTTGTTGGTTCTATTATTTTGGGAGACACCTTCAAAATAGGCAGCGACATTATTATTGACTCAACATTGTTGGTTTTATCGGCAGCTTCAGCGGTGGTGGCAGCAGGGACCTCGGCAGCTTGGTCTTTGTATGATTCCATGGTTACGTCTATACCGCCGATGGTTTCTTCAATGATTATAGTCTCCCGCTCATCCTTTGTTCCAGAAGCAGTTGGTTCATCCACTCTCGGCTGGTTAACAGAAATGGGTTCATCGCCAAAGCAGTTGGCTCTCCTGCCCTCTGCTGGTCGAAGGGTGTAGGTTCATCGTCAGTTGGACTGAGTTGTTGGAGCGGCATTGTTGCGCGCGGTTGGCTAACTGGTGAGGGTCGCTCGGGCTGGTCGCTTGGCTCCCTGATTGTGATTCCTTTCCTCAAGCGAAAGAGAGAGGTCTCATCCGGGTTGACCTGGTCTTCCACTGCCTTCCCTTTCCCTTTTTCCTTCCTTGTTAGCTTCCGAGAGGGGCTTTTGGATTTATTTAGTGCCATCTTCATCTTCGGTTTCTTTACAGCTGGCTCAGGAGCGGAGTCTTCTTTCTTCTTTGACCTTTTCTCGCCAACAGCCTTCTTCGCGCCCTTTCCACCCTTATCACTCCGGGACTCCTCCTCGCCAAATATTTTTCTTCGCTCCTTAGCCTCCTAAGTGAAGAAAGCGGCAATCTCATCTTCCTTAGCTTCAGCGCCTTCATCGGAGACAGTTCTTTCCGAATCGTGCTCAGCGGCGGCCCCTTCTTCTTCATTTCCCAAAGCCAACTCTTCTTCCTCCTCATTCTCCTCCTGTAAGCGGACAATATCCTCCCTTACTACTTTCATCTTCTTCTACAGCAGGGGGAGGGGAGGGGGAGGATCTGTCGCTTTCTTCTTCCTTTTTTTCTCCTTGGAGATTAGGTTGAACCTTTTCGTCTCCAGCCAATTTTTATGGAACGCCCTGTAATCAGAGTCCCGGGACCCAGCTTCCTATCGATTTTCTTATGCGACCAAATCTCTATGTAGATGATAGCGCTTCTATCAATGTCAGCCTTTTCCTCGAAGATTGAACGCAACGCGACCAGATATTCGGGTTTGATGTCAGTCATGTGCTAGGTTGTCATTATCCTGTTCAGCGACCACTTCACCCATTCTTTCTTGTCGTCATCCACCAACCCAAATTTGAAATTCCTGTTCTCATATTTGGGGGTGGTGGCGAAGGTCCTGTAAAAAGACTGCAACTCCAGCGAGTTCCATGTCTCCGCTGCATTCAATTTATCCTCCATCTCCTAGGATGAATAGTGGAATGGCCACCCCAGGACTCAGTTGATTTGCCTCACCGAGCAGTCCACCCATTTTTCTCTAACATAGATGTTCTTCGGACTCTCAAATTGGATCATGTCCGTATAAAATTCCCTCACCAGTGTCACATCACTGGATCCTTGAGATTTTGGATCAACCAAGTCAGGCCCCGCTCCTTTATCTAGGCAGCGAGCGGGCCTGAGATGTTTTATATGACGAATCCACACTCACAAAGGATTTTCATGGCCTTTGTTATTTCATAGGTCGCCGCCGCTTCCAAGCTAGCAAAATGAATTGTGTCATATTGCTTAGAAGCTAGTACCGCCTTCGCTTCCTTGGTGACGTCCTTCATTGTTATTTTCTTCGCTTTGAAGGCCTTCATTATTTCTCCAGTGGCTTAACGAGCGAACTCCTGATCGATTTCCTTCTTGCTGAATTCCTTCAAATTCTTATATCTCAGCCACCAGGCTCACCAGATACCTCTGATCCGTTTCGTCTGTGCATTCAAATCTTAGGTAATCCTCCGGAACTCTGGGATGAATTTTCAGAATTCTATGGATTTCAGCTTCCTCAGGTCGCTCCAATTCTTAGTCAATTCCAAAACTCTTCTTTGCTTGTAGTAAGCCTTCGGCGGTGCGGGTTCAACGAATTCCGCAGAGCTTGTTTCCACCACCTTCCTTCTGTCAGTGGAAAAAATCCTCTAAATTTTTTTTCCAAATTTTCACTTCAACTTTTTCAAACTCCTCATTCACACTTATCTTCCTCTCGCTTGGACCTATGGTGATGGGTTTTAGACAACCTATACTTTATCCCAGAAAAACAGAGCAATGACATAATACTTGCAAACCTGCAATATTAGTCCAAAAATGGATAAAATTTCAAATAAAAAGGTACAAATATCCTATTATTCACTTATTTGAACGCTATTTTCTCATCCCACAACAAAACATAACATTTTAGGGAGGGTTTCATTGTGAAAAAGGGAGAAAATCACAAACTTATGAAAATCCATAAAAAGATGAAAGATTTATCTATAGAAAAGAAGAATATTATATATTATATCTAAATCCAACATATGACAAACTTAGAATCACAAAAAATCAAGTTATAGAAATTTTGCAAAAGTTCAAAGAACAGTGATTTTCACAAAAAAAAAAGGGAAAATTGATTATGCATTGTTGAGTGTAAAATCATAAGAAATAAACCATAAAATCGAGTAATTAGACCAAGGAGAACCTAGATCTTACCTCAGATTTATTTAAAATCAGTTTAAAAGTGAAGATTTTTCGAATTTGGGAACATGGGGAAAATGACTGAGTGATGGGGTATTTATAGAAGAGGGTCTTCGCTCACTTACTGCGTGACGTAAGCGGTGGACAGTTCAGCTTCTCTCAGTCCAGTATTATTATATTAATATAAAGGCTTAAGGGTGGGTTACTGGGTGGGTGAGCGGTTAAAACACTACTTCTAATTATCCTAAGTGTGACAAAGAAGCGATTGGGCAAGCGGTACTCGCTGAGCGATAACACTCCTCCAGTATATATCAGGGTGAAACAAGCGAAAGGAAGGTTAGCTTGGGTCAGACTCAAGTTAGAAGTTAAAAACCTACCTAAGCTATTCTAGAAAAACGATAACAAAGCAATTATAATTTTATTCTACTGAAAGCGATAACTCTATTCCTATCAAAGCGTTATACTAACTACGAAAGCAAGAATTTCAATTCCTATCAAAGCAATAAAATATAACTATAAAAGCGACAAAATATTATTAGGAAAGAGATTAAAGAAAGCAAGTAAACCTTTTGGCGGATATAAGATTAGGCAATTCTGGATTTAGTTAAGTTCTGATCACGGAACGAGTTTTTGAACTTCAATAAGATCAATCTCTGCTTCGGTCCGCTACAGTACAGGCCCTTCAATATAAGGTTTCAGTCTCGCTCTGTTGACGAGGAATGAATCGCTTTCCCTTGGGTTATCCACATCACTGATTCTGATGGTTCCGCTTGGCAAAATCCCTCAGTGAATTCTTTCTTCTTCAACTTCCTATTGTGATAGAACTTCATTCTTTCCTTGTAAATTTTGGCTTTTTTGTATGCAAGAAACCAGAACTCAATTAGGTCTACTAATCGCTTGGCACACTTATGCTGGGTAGGCAACAAATCAAAATTTAGATACTTAATGGCCTAGTACACTCGATGTTCGAGTTCCAGTGGGAAGTAGCATGTTTTTCCGTGAACCAACCAATAGGGAGACACCTCAATTAGCGCCTTAAAGGCTATTCTATAGGCCCATAACGCATCATCTAATTTTTCATCCCAATTTTTACGACTCTTGTTGACTGTGGTCTGGAGGATATGCTTGATTTCTCTTTTAGAAACTTCCACCTGACCGTTTGCTTATGGGTGATAGGGAACAGTTAGATGTTGGCGAACCCCATAGTTTTGAAGGCAAGTCTGCAGCGCCTTGTTTACAAAATGGGTGCTTCATCGCTGATAATAGTCCTAGGAACCCCGAATCTTGGATAAATTATGTATTTTAGGAAGCAGACCACTGAGCGAGAATCATTAGTAAGGAGCGTCTATGCTTCAACCCACTTGCTCACATAATCCACTGCCACTATGATATAGAGTTTTCCATTCAAATTCGGAAATGGTCCCATAAATTCTATTCCCCAAACATTAAATAATTCCACAAACAAGATTCTAGTATGAGGCATCTCATCTTCCTTTAAGATAGAGCCTAGTCTCTGACACTTGTCACAAGCATTGGCAAAGGCATCAACATCTCTTTGTAGAGTTGGCCAAAAGAAACCAGACTGCAGACCTTTGACCGCTATGCGCGAGCCAGCAAAATGCCCTCCTACATGGAAGCCATGACATTCATTCAAAATCAAGAGGAGCTCTAATTCTGCTACACAGCGATGGATAATCCCATCAGAGCCGATGTTGAACAAGTAAGGTTCATCCCAAAAATAGTCCTTTGCTAAGCTTAAAAGACGCTTCTTTTCCCTATGGACAATATGAGTGGTAAAATGTCTTGTGGCCAAGAAATTTGCCAGATTTGAAAACCATGGCTCCTTCCCCTGCACAAGGAATAATTTCGCAAAAAATCATTATACCTGGGGATGTGTCCTACGGTTTTCGAAGTAAACTAAGATGGTCAGCAACAAAATTTTCTTTCCCTTTCCGGTCCTTGATTTCTATGTCAAACTCTTGAAGTAAGAAAAAACGGGCCTTGGTCTGTTTCTTCTCCATAAAAAATTTTATCGCTACATGATCAGTGTGAACTATGGTCTTGCTCCCGATCATATATTGTCTGAACTTCTTGAAAGCGAAGAAATTTGCTAGTAGCTCTTTCTCAGTTGTAGTGTAATTCCTTTGAGCGGAGTCCAACATCCTACTGGAATAATAAATGACATTCAGCTTGGACTCCACCTTCTGTCCAAGTACAGCGCCAACGGAATATTCGCTTTCATCCGTCATCAACTCGAATGGCTTGCGCCACACTGGTGCCGAAATGATGGGAGCGGTGGTGAGTTTGGTGAGTTTCTCCTTCAAAATTATGAAAGCCTCCTCACACTCGCTCGAACACTCAAATTTAGCATCTTTGCACAGCAGTGCAGTGAGCGGTTGAGTAATTTTGCTGAAGTCCTTAGTAAAGCGACGGTAGAATCCGACATGACCAAGAAAAATTCTAACTCATTTTTCATTCGAGGGAACTGGCATTATTTCAATTACACTAACTTTTGATCTGTCCACCTCAATTCCGGCAAGCGAGATCTTATGGCCAAGAACAATTCATTCATTTACCATTAAATGGCACTTCTCCCAGTTCAGCACGAGATTAGTCTCAATGCAGCGGAGGAGCACTCTATCCAAATTACTCAGGCATCTGGAAAAGGTTTTGTCATATACTGAGAAATAATCCATAAACACTTCTATGCAAGAGTCCATGAGATCACGACCTACAAGCTTCTTAAGGCATTGATCAAGGAACGGCAACGGAAAATGATCCTTCTTTGTCGCTATATTCAGCCTTCTGTAATCGATACAGACTCTCCATCCTGTAACTGGTCTTTTCTTGAAGACCTCCCCATCATCATTAGTCTGTTCGACAAAGCCTCATTTCTTGACGACCACCTGGGTTGAGCCGACCCGTTGGTTGTCATTAATATGATAGATAATACCTGCATAAAAAAGCTTGATTACCTCTTTTTTTCACAACTTCTTGCATATTCTCGTTAAGAGGTCGCTAAGGCTGTCTGCATAGCATCGCATCAGCTTTAAGTCTAATATGGTACATACACACCGCTGGGCTAATTTCTTTGATATATGAGATCTTCCATGCAAACACCGTCTTTCTTCTCTTAAGAATGGATAGGAGTTGAGCCTTTTGGTCTGGCATAAGCGAGGCATAGATTATCAGTGGATAAGTCTCCTCTGGGCCAAGAAAAACATATATCAGATATTCTGGTAGCTTCTTCAACTCCTCCCTTGCTGTAGATTCACTTTCCGGGTCTCGCTTTGCTTGCTCTATAGACTCAGTGGGTATAGGTGAGCTATCGCTCCGCTCATATGAGTCCTCAAGCTTCCTCAGCACAAACGAATCATTCTCTGAAATTTTCTCAAGAAATTCTAAAGTTAAACTATTCTTAAGAGAAGTTAATTCATTTAATTCATCGATAAAATTCACAATTTTCTTCCTGAGGTTGGCGTAATGCTTTGTTCATGGAAAACATGAATTTATTTTCACCTATGCTCAGTGTGATTTTCCCTTGCATGACATTGATATTAGCCTGAGGGTGGCAAGAAAAGGTCTTCCCAAAATTATTGGAATTTCGAGATACTCACTCATTTCCATGATTATAAAATCTGCAGGGAAGATAAATTTATTTACTTGCACAAGTACATCATAAAAAATCCCTTGTGGGAGTCTTGTTGATTTATCGGCAAGTTTAATTACAGTTCTACATGGCTCAAGTTCATAAAGCCTTAATTTACTAAAAAAAAAGAAAGACATAAGATTGATACAAGCTCCTAAGTCACATAGTGCCCTAATCGGTTTCAAGTTCCCTATAGTACAAATAATAAGAAAACTCCCAGGATCGTTGAGTTACTTAGGTAGCTCCTCACTAAACATGGCGCTGCACACACCATCCAGCTGCACTGCTGCATCTTTAATAAACTTAGCCTATTGTGGTATATGCAACAAAGCATCAACAAGTGAAATAGTGACTTTAAGACTACAAAAAGTGTGCACAAACATTTCAAACTCCTTAGAATTGTCCTTTCTCCCGAACCTAGCTGGAAAAGGGGCCCTAGCTATCGCTGGGGTTGGCTCATTTTCTTTCTGAGTTGTCATCTATGTGACGTGCGTCGCTCGTGGCTTAGTTGGACAAACTTCCTTGTTTGGCACTTGGTTAGTGTCATCCTATACATGTAATCTATTTAAAACAACTGGGGTGAAAGAGAAATTAGTACCTCTGTTTGGCAGCGGTGATGATAATGTTCGCTTCCCTCCCATGATCTCTATAGCCTTTGCTTGATTCGGGACAGTCTCAACTGTCCCAATCAACATTCCTTTCTACTTTAGCTTGATCTCTTCAGCTATATACCTGACCTACATTTCAAGCATTTTGATCGAAACAGATGTATTCCTTTGGAACTCCTGGTTTGCCAGCTCCGTGTTCCTTCATAGTTCCTCCAGACTCAGCGGATGATTAGTCGATGTGGCAGGTTGGGCAAAAACAGGTTCCTGCTGTGGAAAGTAGGGGGGTCTGATAGTAAGGTGGTTGCGGATAATATCTGACGCGGCCATCCATGCTCAGAAAAACGATTATTGAAGATGGATGTGCTAGACATTACAATTCATTTTTATTCAACTCAAAAGTCACCGAACTGAGTCATCCCGAGGCCATGATCACAAGAGCCGAGACTTCAGGACTAAGACAACAGATTTTGGAAGAATCTCAAAGTTACCATATTATATATTACCTTTTATTATAAGTTTATATATAGTATAATTTCATATCCAGAACTTTCCTTATTATTTGTTTCTTATTGTTATTATTTGTTTCCTTATATTTAGACTTAGCTTTTATTTGTTTCCTTTATTATTTGTTGCATTTTATTTTCTTCAAGGACCTCTATATAAGTTCATTGTCTATCATTGTAATAGAGTAGAGTGAATCTTAAATAAAATTTCTTTATTGTTCCCTCTCAATATTTGTCTAGTGCTAGGATATGATTTCCTCCCACTTAGATATGTCAAATCGGGTTTTTGGAGTGATTCTATCGGTTTGTGGCTTCAATCATTTTGTAGTGGGATTTAGCCTATTGTTTGTGTTTTAACTATGGTTTTGATTTCAGGTCCGAGACTTATTCTCGTTGTTGGTTATCATCCATGTTAATTCACATTTTCTGCACTATCTTTTCTTCTTTATCCTCAATTCTTTCAAATCGGGTCTTTGGAGTGATTCCATCGGTTTGTGGCTTCCACCCATTGCAGTGGGATTTAGCCTATTGTTTGTGTTTTAACTATGGTTTTGATTTCAAGTCCGAGACTTATTTTCATGGTTGGTTATCATCCATGTTAATTCGCATTCTCTTCATTATCATTTCTTCTTTATTCTGCCTTCTTTCACCTATATTCCGAACCATTGATTCTCCATTGAACTTTTTGGCTAAGGAAATTATTATGGGCATAATTATACACGGTCGGGCCGTGCCATCTGGTATCAGACCTTTGCGCTCAGGTTTTCTATCTACTTGAGTCGTCCTTAGTCGATTTTGTTAGAAAATAAATTCAATTTCTGGTATTTGTCAATTGTTTTGTTCTCTAAAAAAAATTTTATTTGTCTACTTTGTTTTAGATTTTTCTAGCTATTGTCTTTAGGAAAATTGAGTCTTCTTGTGAGCCATAGAGTTGATGGATATCCTATTCGGGAAAACAAGAGTACTTTCCAAGAAGAGGGGAATGACACGGCCGTCCAAGCTCAGAAAAATGATTATTGAAGATGGATGTGCTAGACATTACAATTCATTTTTATCCGACTCAAAGGTCATCGAACCGAGTCATCCCGAGGCCATGATCACAAGAGCCGGGACTTCAGGACTAAGACAACAGATTTTGGAAGAATCTCAAAGTTACCTTATTATATATTACCTTTTATTATAAGTTTCTATATAGTATAATTTCATATCTAGAACTTTTCTTATTTTTATTATCTGTTTCCTTATATTTAGACTTAGCTTTTATTTGTTTCTTTTATTATTTGTTGCCTTTTATTTTCCTCAAGGACCTCTATATAAGGTCCTTATCTATAATTGTAATAGAGTAGAGTGAATCTTAAATAAAATTTTTTTATTGTTCCCTCTCAATATTTTTCTAGTGCTAGGATGTGATTTCCTCCCACTTAGATATGTCAAATCGGGTCTTTTGAGTGATTCTATCGGTTCGTGGCTTCCAATCCTTTTGTAGTGGGATTTAGCCTATTGTTTGTGTTTTAACTATGGTTTTGATTTCAGGTCCGAGACTTATTCTCGTTGTTGGTTATCATCCATGTTAATTCACATTCTATGCACTATCTTTTCTTCTTTATCCTCTCTTCTTTCAAATCGGGTCTTTGGAGTGATTCCATCGGTTCGTGGCTTCCACTCATTTGCAGTGGGATTTAGCCTATTGTTTGTATTTTAAATATGGTTTTGATTTTAAGTCCGAGACTTATTCTCGTGGTTGGTTATCATCCATGTTAATTCACATTCTCTGCACTATCATTTCTTCTTTATTCTCCCTTCTTTCACCTATATTTCGAACCATTGGTTCTCCATTGAACTTTGTGGCTAAGGAAATTATTATGGGCATAATTATACACGGCCGGGCCGTGTCAATATCCCCCCTAATAGTATTGCGGCGCAGAAAAATGCTGCGACTGATGAAATTGTTGTTGAGGACATGGGCTGACAGGCCTTTGGGGTTGCCCCTTCTGGAACTGCTGGTACTGAGGAGCATTCTTATTGGCCATGTAAAAGACCTCCGCTAGTTTTGAGCCTGCTCAGCTGAGCTCTTAGCAACCTGCGGGCCAGATTGGTCAACATAGGTGCGCACTCTTCAGTGGCCACGACTTCATTTGTTACCTGTTTATTTTTGTTACCAAACAGATCCTGTTTGACGAGCTTAGCCAGCTACTTAATCTGGATAGAAAAATTGTCTATCCGCGTGTCTTATGAAACAGTAGCAGGAACCTGATAAAGACCCATTGATGGCTCAGGCCTTCTGGTTTCCGGCCAACTAGTCTTATTGGCCACCATCTTTTCTATCAGTGCCCTCATTTCGGAAGCGCACCTCCCCATCAGCGAGCTACCTGCCGCTGCCTCCAGAGACATCCGTAACTCGGGGGTGATCCTTGAATAGAAGATCTAGAGCTCTATAAAGTCAGGAATCTCATGGTAATGGCAGTTACGGAGTAGGTGCTTGTAGCGGCTCCAAGCTTTGGGCAGTGTCTCATCAGTAGCCATCTTGAAACTAAGGATTTCATTCCTCTGGCTGATGGTTTTTGACACTGGATGATATTTGCTCATGAAGGCCTGAGCTGCTTCCTTGAATGTTCCAGGAATTGGGTAGAGGTTATCAAACCACTTCCTGGCTTCACCTTTTAAGGAAAATGGAAACATAATTAGTTTGACAGCGTCCTCCAGATTTCGAGGTGGCAGCAATCCTGTTGAACTTCTGAAGGTTCTCATAAGGGCTTTCATTGAGCAGCCCATGAAATTGGCTCTAGCTGGCCAGGTCTACTAGCGATGGCTTCACCTCATAATTTCCAGTGCCTTTGGGCGCATAACTTGTACTTAAAGTGTTATCTAGGAATGATAGTGAACGTTCATCGGGACTTCAGCAAGTGGGCGATCAGCAGCCCTGTGTCCCTAAAATTTTCTCTTGTGGGGCTCAGCAGTAGATGGAAGGGAGTGATGGCAGCGAGAGTCGCAGCGGCGCGAGCAACTTGTGTCACTTGGGTAGTGATAAACGCGGCCTCTGCAGCTTGAGCTTGCTCGACCTGAGCAAGATGCGCTTGCATTCCAGCCATTCCCTGTTAGCGTCCTAACGAGCTGCTCTTCAGTAGCCGTCAGGACATGGGGAAGAGTAGGAGGCTGGAGTACAGTGGAGACATGGAGCGGCACCTTCTGCAAAGATGTAGATGCGGCAGAGTTAGAAGATGTCCCAACGGCAGTCTGAAAAGCCGAGACAGTGGTGGCAGGAGCAGCTTTGTTTCCTTGGTTTGCCATGATCCGTTCTCTTGTTACTTCTCAAATTAGACGTCTTTGAGTGCGAGAAGAAGGAGTAGGACTGGTTTCACACTAAAAACGCTTAGGACCCCTAAATTAAAGATTGTCGCATCATAAAGAGAGTTAGTACAACAAGAAAAAATTTAAAGAATTAGATAATAACAAAATTTAAGGTAAATTATGGCGCATCACTTGATTAATTCAAGACTCAATTTTTGACTTAAAAAAACCCCGGCAACGGAACCAAATTATGATACAACAAAATTATGATGTTTGAAGTTAAAACAATGAATTTCTTATGAGTTTCTTGAATGGAATGTGTATTATTGGACATTTTCAGATATAAATGGTGAAAATGAAGTTGTAGACCCTAAATCGCAATATCACAATTATTTATACTCTTTTACTGGTGAGTTTCTAGGTCAAACAAAGAGATTTTAAGTCGCAAAATTTAAATCAAGAATTTCAATGCAGGTAACGCGCAACAAAAAGCAGTAAGATGACTCACTGTCAAGGTAGCCGAAAAGTTAATTAAAACAGATTTTAAAGAAAAACAAATAAAGAGGAGCGGTTAGTGGTGCATCAGTGAAGGCAGGGGGCGAGTTATGAATGTAGCGAGAGCGGTGGTGAGCGGAGGCGAGCGATGAATGCAGCGAGAGCGGTGGTGAGCGGAGGCGAGCTGATGAAGGGGAGCAGGTTATAGTTATATGCATACATGATAAGGTTACGCCTCATCATTCCCAAACGATCGACGAGTTGATCGGACTCGACGAGTAGTTTCATTTAACAATTGGACTCAATACCCAACAAGCGATTAGACAAATTAATATAATGAATTTCAACTCAAAACATGTAATTTACAAATATTCAGCCAACTAACCAATAAAAACATCAATCAAGAATCATGATTTGTTGAAAATTAAACAAAAGTTTTCAAGTTTGCTCATAAAATATTTTCATCCAAACATTTTTATTTGACAACTAAAGAAGGAATGAAAATATTAACATCCAATAAATTCATTATAATCATATTTTCTTTTCCAAAAGTCATAAACTAGGTTATGACAAAATTAAAATTTCTAATCCATTTCACAAACTTTTCATTTTTCATAAACCCAAAAGAACATCCTAATTAACTTACTAAAACAAATAACAAAATCAAATACTTTTAGAATAAATTTATTTAAAAATAAATTGAAAAGTATCACATAGAATCAACATATAAATGCAGAATGTCTTATCATTTAAGTAAAATTCATCTTACAGACAGACCTTAGAAGATGAGACCAAAAGGATGAGGTCTCGTGGAGAAAACTTTCAAGGGTGAAGACGGAGGCTGCTAAGGTGAACCCGGAGGAGGAAAGAACATGCTGAAACTAATTTTAATTTTTCTCTCTCTGGCCTATTTTTTTATTCGCCATCTCTTGGGCTTAAAATCGCCCAAAATTCAATTTACCTTTAAATTTTAACTCAAATTATCAATTCTTACACCAAATTATAAATTTAGCTCGAAAAAAAAAAAATTGTCCGACTACAATTCGAACTTCGACAAGTTTCGACAATTATTTTACAGGGTTTTACACTCCAATTCACCGTTTTATTTTCTTTTATATAAATATGTATTTGCGTATTGTTATATATTACATAAGTGTGCTATAACATTTTCTAAGTAAAATAAAATTTATGAATAGCATTATATTGAATACATATTCTCTTTACTAAATTTATGTATAATTTATTTATAATATTTTTTTCATTGCATGCGAATGTACTTGTTTGAATGTTTATAATAGTTTAAAAATAATAATATTTTATTGGTTACTAAAATTGTGTGTAAGATAGTTTTGGTAATTTTTTTTTAACTTTATGTATATGTATATGTATAATGATATGTTTGTATTTAAATAAAAATTAAATATATTTTGGTATTAATGTGTAGTTATATTTACGATAATAAAAAGTAAATATTGTTTAATATAACAAACGAAAATAATAAAAAAGAGTACCTTCAATTCTGACGGAAAAAGTAACAATTTTATTCGTTTATAATTTATTATTTATTCTAACAAATAATAATCAATTTAATCTTATTATCATTTTTTTTTACCCCATTATATTTTAGCTAATTTTTTAATAGATTTTCTATAATATCTATTTTACTTTTTACTTTTTACTTATATACTTTTATATTCATTTTTTTTTAAATCTTTTATATCCATATAAAAATACATTTCATTAACAAAGTAAGTATTACTCTCTCCTCTTAATGTATCTAGTCGCCATTTTAAAATTTGTCCATTATCAATATATTCAATTTTTATAAAAATGTAATTATATTTCTTATTTTAATAAAAAAAAAATACCCTAATGTTATAAAATATATAACAAATTAAATATAGTATATAAAATTGTATATGTATAAATGTAAGTATAGTCGTGGGTGTATGTATGTATGAATTGTATAATATATATCCATATATATTAGAGAGGAAGATAGAGAGGTTGAGATATACAAAGAGAGAGAGTGAATTCAAAAGCCAAAATCGTGTATCACTTTTTCATTTCTAAAAAAATAGCATATTTATACGCAAGTTCAATCATGCTTAGTCATTCTTGACAATACATGCATCTATACATTTGCATAATACATGTCATAACGCTTCCTTTTAAATGTCCTTTAATGTGCAATGAATACACCTCATTAAAATTTTACTAGAAAAAATTTATTGAGATAAAAATTCTCGTGAAGGAAGAAGAGTATGATATTCATGTATTAAAAATACTCTCCCTGATGCGGACATCACTTAAAATCTCGCTTTCCCTGATGTGGATATTATTTGAAATCTTGCTCCCCTGATGTGGATATCACTTGAAGTTTCGCAACTGACGTATCCCGATGATCTTTATCAATTTCTCGAACGTTGCAGTCGGTAAAACCTTGGTTAGTAAATCTTCTAAATTATCATTGGATCGAATTTGTAACACATTTATTTCACTATTTTTCTGAAGATGATGAGTAAATAAAATTTTGGTGAAATATGTTCCGTTCTATCTCCTTTGATATATCATTCTTCAAGTTGCGCTATACAAGCTGTATTATCTTCGTACAAAATAGTAGAAGAATTATCATTTTCAAATGTCAAACTGGAATCTTTAAAATGTGGTGAGTATTGATCTCAACCAGACACATTCTCGACTAGCCTAATGAATTGCTATTATTTCAGCATGAATCGAAGAAGTTCCGATTAATGTTTGTTTAGTAGATCTTCAGGATACCACTGTACCACCGCATGAAAATATATAATCAGTTTGAGACTTGGCTCTATACGGGTCAGAGAGATACCCAACAAATGTCGAGAATATTTTTAATATAATAAACCGAGATCAATCGTTCCTTGGAGATAACAAAAAATATGTTTTATGTATTTCCAATGTCGCTGTGTTGAAATTGCGCTAATTTTTTCTCATAAATTTATAGCAAATGTTGTGTCCGGTCTTGTACTATTAGCTAGATACATTAGTGCACCAATAGCACTTAAATATAGTACTTCAGGACCAAGTGCTTCCTCAGTCTCCTCTTTTAGTCTAAAAGAATCGTTGATAGGATCGAGAGTTCTAACGACCATTGGAGTATTTAATGAATGTGCTTTATCCATTTCAAATCGTTTCAATACCTCCTGGATATTTGTAGATTGATGGATCAAAATTCTATTTTTCAAATTTGTAAGTTGTAGACCAAGACAGAATTTTGTTTCCCCGTAATCCTTCATTTCAAACTCTATTTTCAAATATTCAATAGCTTCTTGGACCTCTTCAGGGGTTCCAATTAAATTCAAGTCATTCACACAAACAACCATTATCACAAAATTTCTCTCATTATTCTTTATAAAAACACATAGGCAAACATAATCGTTGGCATATCCTTTTTTCAATAATGATTCATTGAGACGATTATACAATATGCGACCAGATTGTTTGAGCTCATACAAACACTTTTGTAATTTAATAAAGTAACGTTCTTTTTTCTTTTGTTTTTTTTTGTATACTTCAGGTATACTGAATCCTTAAGGGATTCTCATATAAATATCAATAATATCTAATGA